TATTTACCTTAAGGTGTGGAATTGACCTTTGAGACCCTAAATGGCTTAGGCACTATCCAAGGGAATGCCTCTTCTTCTAAAGGTAAGGGAATTAAAGGAATACATCTTCCAAAGTTAGTTCATAGAAGAAGATATATTCCTTTAGGAGAAGATATATTCCCTTAGATAGTCCCTAAGCCATTTAGGGTCTTAAAGGTCATCTTAAATTGTTCCAGGTAAATAACTGGCAACTCCTGCAGACCTTTCAGTACAGGTATCAGACCTGATGGTGAGGCCCTTTTGAAGATGTGCCCACTGTCAAAGGCTCATTTTCTGTCATGTCATTTAGGCATGAAAGCTGGCTGGGTGACTTTGGGCCAGTCTCTCTCTCGCAGCCCAACTCACCTCACAGCGTTGTTGTTGTGGGGAAAATGGGAGGAGGAAGGAATATTAGGTATGTTCACTGCCTTGAATTATTTATAAAAATAATAAAGGTGGGATAAAAAATCTAAAAATAAAATAATAAAACGTGGATTAGAGTTCTGTATGTTGCTCCCAGGCTATGGAATGTATTCTCCTAGGATTTGCACTTGGTCCCCACCTCTTTTCAATATTTAAGAAATCTGAAAGATGCATTTATGTGCCAGTTAATCTTGCTAACTTTTTATATTCTGTTTGTTTTAAATTCTATTAGCTCCTTTAGGTTCTTGAGAATGTAAACAGCAGAAAAGTAGAGAGGCAGGCAGGCAGGCAAGCAAGCTACCTGGCTATCTTGCTTTAAGATAGGAATTTAAAACAAACCATCAATTATAATAATGCCATCATGTAAGCCTTTGACTCATCTGGAAAACACCCTACATTTTTACTCATCCTAGTTCTTCAAAGAAAAACCTAGAACTTGAGAAGGTCCAGAAAAAGGACATAAAGTGAATAATAAAGTAAGCATCTTTATGATGAAAGTCTTAAGGGGCTGTATCTTTAATATTTAGAAATAGTAACTAATGGAGAATGCATGATGAATGTTTAGAAATAATTAACACAGTGGGCATAAAACATATTCTCCCTGCACATTAGGAACAGACCATGAAGCTGAGTACTAATGGAACTGTTTATTTATGCATTGCATATTAAGCTGTTGGAATTATCACCTTATTAAGAGCAACTGCTGCAAACAATAGATCAACAAGCAATAAATACCATAATAAAAGCCACAACTCAATGAATGAGTAATAGCCCTACCATTGCTAGCAATGGGGGAATGCAGTGTACTGAGTAAGCAACCACCAGTATCTTTAACAATTTCCTTTTAGAAAGAGGAGCAGCCACATGGATGTCCACCCTTTTTGACAAATACAGCATTTCTAAATTATAGAGTTTATATATCTGTTAGTTTAATTAAGGTTTTGACACCTACTTCCAACAGTTCCAGGGCATTGCCTAAGTATGCTGCTGTATGTAAGTATGCCCCTTAGGGAAGCAAGCTTATACTTGTGCCATGTTCCTCCCCCTGCAACTCACTGGTACCTCTGCCAGAGACATTTGGGTTTTTGCACTCTTGGATGTCCACTTTGTTATCCAGATGGATCTTCACTCTGCCACTGTGTGCTTTATTGTCAAACGTAATCTGGGGAAAATGGAGGAAGAGAAGAAAAGAATGAAAGCAGCACCTTCAGCTCTGCGAGATCAGCATGTGAATGGGGAATCTTCAGGCCTGAACTAAGAAGACAAGATGGGGGCACTCGGCTACTCACTGTTATAGAAAAGGTGTAGCAGTCCGGAATTTCATTGTTGATTATTGTCTGGATGTTGATGGCTTTTAGCTTGAAGTCAATTGTGACATTAATCAGCCTGCCAGAGACAAGATGTGGAGAGTCAATTGTATCGCAATCTCCCAATAAATCTCACAAGTACATGATTATTACAGAATGAGAAAAATAAATAGGTCTCAACCATTTAAATTGTATAAAAAATGAGGCAATAACTGCATCCTTCAAATACATAAGATGATTTAAAAGCATAAGGGGATTGTCAACTCTTCAGCGCTGCTACAAATACCAACAAAATATGACCATTTACTTGTAAAACTTAAGAGTAAAGTTCCTGTAGCTGTGATCTGATGCCAGATCTGCGGGTTTCCTTTCAAGTTCAGATGGAGGAGGAATCTTCTCTGGGGGATCCACACCAAGGCATTCTGCATAAAAAGGAGACATTGTCTCATGCTTCAGACCCTGCCAGATTTGGATGAAGGTGGGGGGAAGGAATGTCAGTTACGTTTCTGCACTATCAAACTGGACTTCTGCCACCAAGCCGCTACTTACTCTTCATTTTACAATAGAAGGCAAACTACATAGAAAACATTCCTGTAAAATCACATGACAGAAGACAGCTTCCCTTACTCTCTACCACAAGTCAGCATGAGTAAAGTAGTTCAGAAACCTGAAACCTAAGTACAACACTCAGGAAAGCAAAGGCTGTTAAAGCAGCTTCCTGTTTCTACAGAGAACTGCTCCATATTATACCAAAATGTTCTTGTTTTTCCTTTAAGAGCCCATAAACAAGAAGGTAAACCATTTATTTACTATTACTCACCTAATTTGGACCCCATCTTTTTATTTAGATGAGCATTTAATTTGGCTAACAAAATTTTAAAAAATACAAAAGATTAAAAACATAAAATTAACGCTGAAATCAATTGACAATGAAACATCCAGTGAAAATGATACCTCTTTACAGATTTTCTAAATGCAGAGCAAGTGGGAGCCAAACATCTCTCCCGAGAGCGTGTGTTCCACAGTCTAGAAGCAATGCAGGAGAAGACCCTCTCCTGCTTACGAGACAGAAAAGCGTCTGACAGCAGGAGCATCTTCAGAATGACCTCACCTGCAGATCTCAACAGCTGGAGGGCAAGCAAGGGAAAGGCTGAAGAGTGATACAAGAGCTAAGGTTCAGGGAAGACATTCGCTTACCTGTGATGACCTTGGGGTCAATGTTGAAAGTGTCATTGGCCGGGTCAATTCTCCCCTTGCGGTAGTATTGCTGGCAGAGCATGAGGGCTGATCGGTTAGCATTGCCTGGGCGGACATAGGCGTAGCGCCCAATTGTCTCATTTGGAATGGCCAAGTACTGTAGGGGGAAATCACCATCGCCAGAATGAGGCCAATTAATTCCAGATCATCCATATGCCCCCTCCCGCACCTGAGCCCCTCCTCACCTTTTCCACTGCATGGAATATATGGTCATAGACATCTGCCTGCGTGTAGACTGCATGGGTATCTTCTGACCCATCTGCATAGTCCTTCAGAAAGAGATGCTTAAATGTAATAGTGTTCTCCTCTTTGAATGTTACCACCATCTGATTGCTGAGCCCAAAGAAAATGAGCTGTGGAAGAGAAAGCAGAAAGCACACAGACCAAGCTGAAGAAAATTGAAGAATCACAAGGGGAAAAAGCCCCATAAAGCCTTAAAAATTGCCAAAAATGTGGTCCCTCATTTCAGTAACTTCATAGCATCACCAGCCATGTCTCCTGCACCCTTGGAAGGCCAGAGAAAGCCCAGCTCTTGGCTGCAGGAAAGACGCCATCCCTCTCACAGGGAAACGTGGAAACTATTCAGGATAAACTGTGATAGACTGAATTTTTTTAAAAGACTAGACAACACAAACCCATCCGGGACTTTGGTCCAGGTTTGCATTTTCTTACACACCTGAATGGTGACTATTAGGATCTTGATCACCTGAAGCACCAATTTAAATGGCTTCCGACCTTTGGCACGAAACTTGTCACAGGGGCTCATGAAGTAGTATTTGAGACGCCTTCGGAATTCTTCCTCTTCTGGCTGAAAGGCAGTAGGTCCTAAGGCTGGCCTCATATCCCCATCCTGAGACCCATAACTATTCACTGAGGTCAGCAGCTTTTCTGTCTCTGCAAAAAGGGGAAACCGGACATGTCTCTCTCCAGGTACACATATTAAGAAAGAGGGGTAAAATTAAATCAATACGATCCAGAAATCTGTGTAATTTAACTAGGTTAAGCATGTTAAGCACCCGAACCTACTACCATCATCTCTGCTATCCAAATAATTCCATCACAGCCTAGCCTAATTATCTTAAGAAACATCAAAGCTCTGAAGTATGCATTGCAACTTCTTTCCTCCTTACCCATCTTGAAGTTTTAAAGTCAGCTGCTAACAGATCTTCTCATAAGACCAGGTTTGTGACTTAATAGGGCTTCTTGTTCCCTGCGAGGCATGCAATTTGTCAGTAGTGACCTAAAAACAAACATAACACAAGACCAATACTTGTTTTTAAGAGAGGCTGTGATGAATTATATATGTGATGGCCAAAAACATCAGCTCTAAAACTGCAAGCAGGCAAAACAGGCTCTCCCACAAAACTATTCATTTTGTTACTGATATCATGTGAGGGAAACCCAGCTCAGCAGCTGTCTAGCTCTTTTGAGTGTAAGGAGAACCAATACAGCAAAGAGAAGAGGAACCATTTTCAGTGAGACAGATGTGCTTTTTGTTTCAAGTGCTAAAAGGATATTCCCCGCAGACGTAAGCTGCTGAATGGCAGACCAGAAGCTCTGCATCCTGAACAAATGAATGATAGTGCTGTACGTCCATGACAGCAGATACATCCACGTTTCATGTTAAATTCAAGAGAAATGTTCTGAGAGGTTTTGCAAGCCAAAAAGATCCTAAGCCCAGGCAAAAATTTAGGAATTATTATCTTAGAAGATGGTTCTGGCAAAGCACGTCTTGACTGCCAATCTGTATAGTCTCCAGGAATTAAGCTCAACTCAAGGGAGACTTTACCTCCCTTTAAGATGCTATATACACAACTCTTCCCCATCACGTTTATCCCTACCACAACCCTGGGAAGGATATTAGCTGGAACCTATAGCCACTCAACCATTAGCCCATCGCCATTCAATAAGCTTATGCCTAAGTGGAGATTTAAACATTTATCTTGCTTGTCTTCATACAACGTTCAGCTATTGCACTCTACCCACTCTCAGGGAATGGTATCTCTTTCTCACCCCAATCTGCATCTCCAGCTGTGAGGCCAAATTCTGTGCTATTGCTCGTTCTATATGTGAATACAGAATGTGAATATCTGTTGAATGTTTCTCATATGTCATGGATTCAGTTGGAAGAAGGAGAAGAACCAAGCTTTGTTGCAAAGACTGATTGCTGGATGCCTGCTTTACAAGAAAGAAGGACCCTGAACAATGGAAAAGCAAAGATTTTTATAAACATTGAGGGCTACAAAGTGGGAAATCCTAGGGATTTGATTTGCTGGCCAGTTTGGGGAAGCTAAGTAGGTCCTTGTACCTGGGGTTAGTTCTATTCTTAGGCGAAATGGGCCTTTCAGGAGGACAGCAGATGTGAGGAAATTCACTGTTAAGGAGGTAGAATGTTGAGGTCATCAGCTGATGGAGAACGGAAGGTTGGGGTTTCTCTAGGTTGCAATTCTCTTGTAAGGGCTGCCCTTGGGCTGTGCTGTGAGCTGGTGAGGAGGCTTCTATTCTTTGGTTTGATGGGACTGCAGAGGGCTTTGTCTGGGGCAGGGAGGTTCAATCTGGGTCTGATGGGATTAGGCAAAGATGGAGGGCAGAGGCGGGGAAGGTGTGGTCTCCATTTTGTTTGTTAAGATTTTCTCCACTATGCATACAAATAATCGTGAATCAAATGACTAAAATAAATGTTTTGTTCCCTTTCTCTACCCATCCAACATATACAGTGGTACCTCGGGTCATGAACGCTTCTGTTCACGACCAATTCGGGTCACGAACAGCTCCGCTCGCAAAATTTTGCCTCCGTTCGCGAACGCCGGATCGGGTGACAACCAGGATCCGCGGCCTTTTTCCCTCCCGTGACCCGTGGTCGTGGCTTCCTGTAGGGAGGGGGACTCTCCCTCCAAGCAATAGCCGCCTCCCCACCCGCCTTCCTGTCCTCCACGCCAGAACTCGCGTCGAGCAAGGTTAGCATTCTCTCTCTTCGTACTGTATTTTGTTTCA